CTTTTAAATCATAATGGTGCTTCTACTCCACCCCAGACATTCTGATTCAATTGGAGTGAGTTTGGGAACTGGTATTTTAAAAAAAAAAAAAAAAAAAAGCTCCCCAGTTGATTCTAACATGCAGCCAGGATTGAAGGGTTGAGAACCAACACCCTAGGGATCCTGCAGAGTTCTGAGAAGAAAGACAAACAAACAGCAAAGTCAAGGACTAGCAAATACAAATTCAAGTGCCTATGAGCAGTAAGTCCACCATTATTTTCCCCCAGGCACCTGCTCTGTGCCAGGCCCAAGCCTGCATTCAGGACGCTGAGATGGACAAGACATATCTCTGTCCTTCTGCTGAGGTATGCAGATGACAGAAACCAGGGCAGACGTGCCCAAGGCCACTGAGCAGTGCTAAGGGGACACAGGGAGGGAGCTCCCTGCCTGGGCATGTCAGAGGAGCAGACGTTGGGGTGGCGACTTGAAAGATGAGTGGAGCTTGGGTAGGCGGTAAAATGTTCTGACCCAAAGCAGCAGCCTCTTAGTCACCCAGCACCTTTGGTTTGTCTCACATCATGTCACAACTTCTTGTTTACTTCTAAACATTTATATTGTGCTTAGTATGTGCCATGCACTTTTCTGAGCAGTTTGTTTACTAGGAGTGTCTATTAGAATCACCTGAGGACTTTTCAAATGCAGATTCCTAGGTGAATCACAGTCTGGGGGGAAGGTCCATAGGGTTTTGCTTTTGTTTTTGTTTTTGGAGCTAGCTTCCTAGGTGATTCTGCTACCACAATTTCTCTTGCACTCCCTCACTTCCCCTCTAAACAAGCTCTCTATGGGGAGAGGGACCCAATTTGTAGCATTTGCTAATTTCTGTTGGGGTAAATACTCCCTCCATGGCAATTTTCAAGCTACTAAGTTAATTCCTGAATATTTAACCATCAGCTCTAATCAGTCATTAAGAGCTAGCTCCAGCATACCAACACCCCACACCTCTACCCTCACCTCCCCACTGGTTAAGAACCGCTACATTACATGAAAATGTATGGTTAAAAAAATACTACATCCATAAAACAGCAAACCCTTAATGGCTTGTGTTGTAATAAAGTTAGTTTCTTGAAAGCACTTATGCAAATAACTCCTAGAGCAACCTTGGTAATAAACATTTGGGGGAGAGAGATCAGGCTGCTTGGACAGGCAGAGGCTGATAAGCCTCTTGCTGTGTCCAAGTGGTAAGACTTCACCACTTGGTGTCGCTCTACAACTTGCTTAAGTCTCTGGCAAGAAAAGATCTTTGCTAAAAGATTGTCATTCTTAACTCTGAAACCTCAGGATGATGACTACGAAATTACATCCTACTTGTTCATGATTTGAAAGAAATTTTTGCACATATTTTTTTCTTGGAAAAGAGATTGGTAATTTTCAGAAAGGAAGAAGACAAGGGCAAAGAGGCAGTTAGGAATCACAAACTTTGACTTAGCACAAGACTTTGATTTACCAGGCAGATGAACTTGGACAAAACTAACCTCTCTACGCCTCAGTGTCCTCATCTGTAAATGGGGGGAAATATTTGTAACTTCTACCTCGCGGACTGGAATTCATCTGGCACATACTAAGCACCCATTCTGTGCCATGCTCTGCACTGGGCTCTGCAAAAGCCAAAATGAGTGAGGCACTATTCCTGTCCTCAAGAAGCTGAATCTAACCTCTTAGGTCTGTGTCCTTCAGTGGAGTGCATTATCTGACATTCTGTAATACCTTGATGAAAATTCTTATGTAGTAGCTTTTGTGTTAGGGAAAAAATGAAGTGTTGGTCTCAATGTTTCAATTATAAGAGGCCTCTTCAACCCTGGTCTCTCCTCCATGCTAACTTGCTCCAGAGGAATGCCATTGTTGAGAAGGAAAACTGAAGCCACTAGAATGTTCTCAGTTGCGAGGAACAGACATACAACTCTAACAGGTATGAATGATGACACTGAATGCATTAGGTCACAGAACTAAAACATCTGGCAGTGGGGGCCACTCTACCATGGTTTGATTCAGATGTTCACTTTGTCATCAGGGCACCAGCTGTTTCTCTGAGATTCTCTGAGTTCCACAATCCTTGGCGGATCAAGTTGGCTTCCTTCCTAGTGACAAATATTGCCACAGCAGTTCCAGGTCACACACTCCAATCTCACATCAACCTTCCAAGCAAAAGGCTTATGACTCACTCTACATGGCTGGACTGAGATCACACATTCACCCAAAGGCAATCATTATGGCCAAGGAAATGGGATGCTCTGATTGGCTGAGCCTAAATCACATGCTCCACTCTCAGAGTTGCAGGGGAAAGCCAGCCCTGGGCCACACCTGCTGCCTACGTGGAAACTGGGAGTTGTGGGGAAGGGGGAAGGGGAACTATTCCACCTTGGGAATATTAGCTAGACTGGAGTTTCTGATTTGGAGAATGGACAAGGGGGTGCAGGCTGAGTTCATGATCCGCTCTTCACACACTTCCCTCCTCTTCCTTCCCTGTATTAGCACCACCTTTAGAGAGAGAATTCTTCAACTTTTTTTCCTGAGAAATACATAGGTAGAGGCTGGCCATGATGTTCACCCCTCTACCCATGGGGCCTGGGGAGTGGAGTTATGCTTCCAGATAGAGATCGCAAGTTTCCACCCATCCCCAGCCTGTTTTCACTGGCATTTGCAAGTCCCAAACTCCTGCTCATCATGCAGGACAGGAAGTCACCCTGCTCTATAGGAAGTGCCTGCACAGTTCAGGCTGCAGCCTTCCTGCCTTGCTTCTTTCCTTGCATCCACTCTCCTTCCAGAATCAGGCAGAAACCTCTAGCTTCCTGCAATTTCACCACCATTCTCTTATCTGCAGTGGGATTATGCATTTGTATTCTCTACTATCACTTTAATGGAGTCTCAGAAGGCAGAGGAGATAAACACACAGGGTCAGTGGGTCATCTTAAGCTGGAAGTCACTGACCCATTTTTCTACCATAATTAAATCTGTCATGGCTGCAGTTGGCTTAAATAAATTCATGTCAAGGATTAAGCAATTTCTTTAGTGTTTTTACAGCCCCTGCCACCTAAGGGATGCTTTTGAGGTGATGACCAGGTAGGGAGGAGACTGAAGCTGCGACTGTAGAGACAGAAGTGCTGAAGACATGGGGAGGCAGAAGGGGATGGACTGAAGTGGTAACGGACAGACGTGGCTTTCAGAGATCTTCAGGACCAGCACATAGCATTCACAGAGAGCATTTGCTTACCGCTTGCACGATTTGGGGCATATCACTTTCCCCTCTAAAAGCCTCAGTTTCCCTCTCTGTATCTCATCAAGTTTTACAATCAGTATTAGTCAAAGTTTCTTGAGTTGCAAGCAACAGACGCTAATGCTAATTAAGCAAAAGTTGTGTTGAAGCAGCAGGTGTGTATGAAGACATCAGTGGGTAGGGACTCCGGCAACCTGGAAAGTGTAGGCTCCACCAAAAGAATTCACATTCAAGAAAAATGTGAACTTTTCTGTGTTGGCCAAACAAAACGTTTGTACTGGCCACCACAGCCCCCAGGGCTCCAATCTATAATGTCCATCTATAGGTAAGAGCCCAAGCTCTGTGCCCGGCACCAAGGCCCTTGCAGTCCAGGACAGAAGCCCAATTCTGGGTCATGGAAAAGGACCTTAGGTGATAACGACCATGTCTAGCTCTTGCTCAAGTCCACAGCCCCTAGCACTGGGCCCAGGACAGGGACAGCCTCATGGAGTGCCCCAAATCAGGACTCTTTGCTAAGGTAAGAGGTGGCTCAGGGACATTTGAGTCTCAGCTCATCTAAGACTATGCAGCTCACCGATGCCTGATCCCATAGATGGATGGGGACAGATCAGGTCATGGGCTCCACCAGAAGGTGGGGGTAGGGAAGGGGGCAGGAACCACTCTTTTAGGTAGGCAGTCAGTCCCCAGCTGAAGCCTCACAAGCCTCAACAGCCTCCGTCAACCACAAAGCTTGTAAGTGCCCATCATGCCCAGCAACTTCTCCATTTACAGCTTTCTAATACACCACCATCGCCTTCCCATCCGCATGAACACTTTGCTCAGACCCTATCTCGCTACCAATGTGGCTGTCCACCAGCTATGTGTAATCCCAAAGAAAGGGACCTTGTTCCAGTCATTTCTCAGCCCCCCGCACTGGGCATGGCCCACAGTAAATGCTTGCTATGTGCTTTGGGTTGCTCACTAACCATTAAGAACCATGTTGGCCCTTCTGGGAATAATCATGACTTGGGTCAGGAGACCTGGGCTCAATCACTCACGTTGGACTGGCCCTCAGCTTGCCCCCGTGCACAGCAGGGAGAAGACCACATGATTGCTAAAGGACTTTCTGGTTTCTCCGACGTCCTTTGCATTCGCTGGCTCTGCTTTGTGACTGCAATTTTGGCTGGGGCTGAAAGAGGGAGGGCCTTTGATGGGTAGAAATGGTCCTTCAAACTAGAAGATGCATGGTCACACCTGTGGGCTGCCACTGTGAGGGTGGCAGGCAATAAGGGGAGGTTAGAGGGGGACCTGAGGTGACCACAATGACAAAGCTGGAAGCAGGCAACTGTCAGGAGAAAGAGACTGAAGTCAGACACACAATTGTGAGTCTCCCCAAGACCATTGCTTAACTATGTGACCCAAGCTGGTCACTTCATCTGAGCCATTCCCCGCTCTGTTGATGGGTGAACAAGCAACATGGAGGGTTTGTTGAATCAGGTTTTGAACTCGGAGGAGCTAATGGAACAGGAAGCCACACTCTGGGCTCTGAGATGATGTCACCCTCATGAACCAGGCAGAGGGGGTGGGATCAGTGGGGACCCCCCCAACCCTTTATCCACCTCCCCCAGCAGAGCAAAAGGTTCCCATACTTCTAAGTCCAACTCCCCATTTCCTTCTACTATCAAATTAGAGCAAGAAATCCAGACTGGACAAGAGCCATTGCGCATTAAAGTTTTATGTGAAACTCTGTAAATGTATAGAGTGGCCCATGGCCACCGCTCAGCACTTGCTGTAGATGGCCGCACTGCCCCGCTCCTCAAACTCCTCCTTGCTGACCCAGAGCTGCTGGAAGGCCTGGAGGGAGGCCAGAATGGAGCCGCCAGTCCACACCGAGGTCTTCCTCTCAGGAGCAGCGGCCACCACGGGGCTATCCCCAGGGCAGAGCAGGCTAAGCTCCCTCTGGAAGCGCTCAGGGAAGCCATCCAGCATGGTGCAGCCGCCGCACAGCAGCACATTGGTGGCCATCTCCTCCTTGAAGCCCGCCTCCTCGCAACGGCCCAGGCAGGCGGCTGTGAGCTCTGGCAGGCCCGGCTGGCTGCTGCCCACCAGGGAGGGCTTGAAGAGCATCTCGGAGCAGCGGAAGCGCTCCTGGCCAATGGTGATGTGCTTACCATCAGGGAGCTCGTAGTCCACGCGCAGCTCCTCCAGGGACAAACGTAGCTCCTCCTCAGGCAGCAGGGCCGCGTAGCCGCACTTCTTCTTGATGTGCTCTATGATGTGCAGGTGGTCATCTGTGAACTTGTGGCCAGCCTGGTTGAGCAGCTGCATCAGGTAGTTGGTGAGGTCACCCCCTGCGTAGTCAGCGCGGCTTGTCAGCCCCGGCAGCACATCGCCTTCCGAGATGGGCACCACGTGCGAGACGCCATGCCCACTCTCCACCACCAGCCCCGAGGTCTTGCCGTAGGAGTAGATGGACAGCAGCGACTGGGACGTCACGTGCATGGCAGGGATGCCAAAGGTCTCGAACATGAGCTCAGCGTACTTCTCCCGGTTGCTACTGGGGCTGAGCGGAGGGTCGGAGACCAGCACGGCGTGCTCCTCAGGGAGGATCTTCATGGCCGTGTGGAAGATGTACTCCCAGATGTTCTGGACGCAGTCCCAGTCCACCACGATGCCGTGCTTCAGTGGGTTAACCAGCTTGAGGGGCGTCTCCATGCTGAGCAGCTCATGGCCCACATAGGTCTGCTTGCTGGTGTCGCCAGAGTCCGCTGCCTCGGGGCAGCGCTTGCCCACAGTGGAGGAGATGAAGTAGGTGGGCCTGGGCTCCCCCGCGTAGCCGCACTTGCAGTACTGGGAGCCCAGGTCAATGATGAGTGCCTTGACCTTGCGCACCTTCTTAGGCTTCATCTTCTGCTGAGTGGCTGAACCTGTGTCCCGGATGCCAGCATCAGGGCCTGGCAGTGTTCCTGCCTCTCCAGGGTCACCCTGAGCCGTGCCCAGGGGCATGAGGCTGGGACTGTTCCTTGTCGCCATCTGACTTTCTTGCTCACCTTCTCACATCCACATCCTAGAGCTCCACAGGGAGAAATGAGAGCCCACCTCCAGCAGTGCCTTGGCAACCACCAGGATTGTGATGTCACTGGGGGCTGGTCCATTCAGGCAGCCCGGGGAGGGCTTGGCTTCCATGGGCCCTTGGTCGGTCACTCTAACCCCTGTCCCCCTAAGTCGAGTTTGATCCAGGACAGAGCAGGTGGCCAGCAGTTATAGAAATTCAAACACACTGGGGTCTTGGAGGTTTCTGCTCCCCTCCTTACATCCCTATGCTTTACTGACTGAATGCCTTTTCCTCTTCTGCTTCTTGGCGGAGAGGGTGCTAAATATTTGAGCCCCTATAGTAAGTCAGGGACTGTACCAGGGACTCCACTTATGTTATTTTGCAGAATTCTGGGAGGTACACAGAGCTGAGGAAATAAGAGGCTCAGAATTCAAAGGACTTCCCCAAGAGGAAACAGTTCTTGGAGTGTTTATACTTTAACATTGGAGTTCATCCAATTCCAATGCACCAGGCCTCCTTAAAGAGTTTGAGAACCCCAACAATACTTTCCTCTCTTCATTCAACATTTACTGGGGGGGGGGGGGGAGTAGCAGGTTCAGCCCAGTGTAGCCTGCCAGTGACAAAGGAAACCCTGGCCACAAGCAATGCCCCGTCTAGGTGAGGAGATAGAATGGATGCAGATGAGTCTGCAGGCAGAAGTCTGCTTGGAGAAGAGAGGTGCATGATGGAGCAAGTGCTTATTTGAGGGAGGAAGTCCGCAGGTTCTCTAGAGAGGAGGTGATGCTTAAGTCAAATACTGAAAGAGGTATGGGTATTTGTCAAGTGGCTAAGAGGCACAGGCATCCCAAGCAGAGAGTGTGGCTTAAGCAAAGGCTCAGAAGGATGCACAGTGAAGAACTTCCAGTAGACACAGTGTTTGGAAAAACAGACTAAACTAGAGAGGTCACAGAGCCAACCAGGGAGGGCCACAAATGCTAGGAGTAGGCTTAGAACAAACCGAGGACAGCTGGGGAACCAATGAAGGCTTTTAGCAGGGGAGTGGTCAGATTTGCCTTCCAGAAAAATTTTAGAGAGATTTGCATTTGGCTATAATGTAGAGAATGGATGGGAGGGGCGAGACTAGAAGCTGAGACCTGAAAGGAGGCCATGGAAATTCCTGAAAGTGGCCTGACCTAGGGCTGTCATAGTGTGGAAGAGACAGGTTCTAGAGGAGTTTAGAAGGTGGAATTGAATCTAATCTGTTGGTTCCCCAACCAACTTTAATCCAAACTCTTACCCTGGCATTTGAAGCCTTCTCTCATTGGCTCCTGGGAACTCTTTAGCCTCAAACACTGCACTCACATTAGATGATTAGATATGGGGCATGAGGAAGAGGGAAGGAGGAATCTCTCACCTGTGCCCAAGCAAGAAATATGACCTGCCATCCAGAAAGGACAATTCACAGGGACCCCCATTACCACCTGCCCCTTTCAGATCAGCAGCAGCATCAGACCCCCATAGGAGCATGAACTCCACTGCAAACTGCATATGCTAGGGATCTAGGTTGCATGCTCCCCATGAGAATCCAACGTCTGATGATCTGAGGTGGAGCCAAGGTGGCCACCCCACCCCTTCCCCATCCATGGAAAAACTGTCTTCCATGAAACTGGTCTCTGGTGTCAAAAAGGCTGGGGACTGCTGCTCTAGAACATGCCACCTAAGAGTTTGGCATGGCCAGCTGTGAGTGACAAACTTTTCTTCACACAGGATATCTGTACCTCTCTGAAACCATGAATTGGTCTACTCTCAAGGTGCTGCAGGGCAAGAGAATTCTTTCATGACAACCCTTAGGCTAAAGGCAGTGCTCAGAACTGCCCCAGCCTGCTTTTCTTCCATTCCTTATGGAAAGCCAGTACAGACGAGAAGGAAGACTAAGAAACTGACCTCAGAAGACCTGGGTTCAAATCCAGCTTTATCATTTATAATCTGTACGACCTTGGGCAGACTACTCAAAATGTTAGTTGACTCTGATTACTATAGTGCTATGCCCTCTCATAAACTTGAGCCCTCTCCACCACCTCCAGCTTTCTCCCTTGAGCAACTAGGTGGGTGGATGGTGGTGCCACACACGCTCACAGGCATATGGAATGCAGGAGTAGGAGCTTTCTAACATTACTTTGGTTATTGTTTGTCACTCCTCAACCCCCACCAAGTAGACTAAGAGATTTTTGTCTTTTTTGTCACTGAATTCCCAGCTGCCTTGCACATAGGAGGCACTCAATAAATATTAATTGAATAAATCAGGTTTATGACAAAATTTAGGAAAAAAGGTGCAATTTGGACTCCTGTGGTGTTAAAAACTAAAAAAAAATTAAAATCTTAAAACTCCCAACATTTAGAAAAAGGGGAGGTATTTCAAAAATACCCCAAATGTACCCAAACATGGGACAAAGGTTCCCAGTAACTAGAAAGCCCAGGTCACCATATTACATCATAATCAGTGATGTCACCATTGGGAAAATTCCCAAGTTGTCCTCTGATTTAGGCCTTTCAGGCCTTGAAGTCAGAGGGATTGAGGAACTTTCCAAGGGCAGTATGGCTCTTGACAACGTGTGGGGTTCACGGGCAGCAATCATAGGGGATGGGCCTGCCAAGAAGGTGGGTGATCAGGCCCCCACACAGATACAGGCCCTCCAGACTGCCTCCTTAAGGGATGGCCCAGCAAAGCGGGCAGTGTGGGTCCGCCGTAAGACTTTGGAGCCAGAAGATCCTACCAAATCAGCAGTGGCCAACGGGAGGCCCAAGCTAGAGGCTGCCAAAGCAGTGGTCGTGGACCTTGGCACTGGCTACTGTAAATGTGGCTTTGCGGGCCTGCCAAGGCCCTCTCACAGGATCTCAACAACAGTGGGCAAGCCCTACATGGAGACTGCCAAGACTGGGGATAATCGCAAGGAGACATATGTGGGGCAGGAGATTGCCGATTCAGAGCTTCATCTTAAGCTAGTTAATCCTCTGAGACATGGCATCATTGTGGACTGGGATACAGTGCAGGATATCTGGGAATATCTCTTCCGACAAGAAATGAAGGTTGCCCCAGAGGAGCATGCAGTCTTGGTTTCAGACCCACCCCTGAGCCCACACACCAACAGAGAGAAATATGCTGAAATGCTGTTTGAAACCTTCAACACTCCTGCAATGCACATCGCCTACCAGTCCCGCCTGTCCATGTACTCCTATGGAAGGACCTCCGGCCTGGTGGTGGAGGTTGGCCACGGTGTGTCCTATGTGGTCCCCATCTATGAGGGATACCCTTTGCCCAGCATCACCGGAAGGCTAGACTACGCAGGCTCTGACTTGACAGTCTACCTGATGGGCCTGATGAACAGTTCAGGGAAGCACTTCACTGAGGACCAGATAGGCATCGTGGAGGACATCAAGAAGAAATGCTGCTTTGTGGCTCTGGATCCCACCGAAGAGAAGAAAGTCCCTCCCAATGAGCATATGATCCAGTACATTCTGCCTGATGGGAATGAGATACAACTGTGCCAGGAAAGGTTCCTCTGCTCGGAGATGTTCTTCAAGCCATCTCTCATCAAGTCCATGCAGCTAGGCCTCCACACCCAGACAGTGTCCTGCCTTAACAAGTGTGACATTGCCCTCAAACGGGACCTCATGGGGAACATCCTGCTCTGTGGGGGCAGCACTATGCTCAGCGGTTTTCCTAACCGTCTGCAGAAGGAGCTGAGTAGCATGTGTCCCAATGACACCCCACAGGTAAATGTGTTGCCTGAGAGAGACAGTTCAGTGTGGACTGGTGGCTCCATCCTGGCTTCACTTCAGGGCTTCCAACCACTGTGGGTCCACCGCTCTGAGTACGAGGAACACGGGCCTTTCTTCCTCTACAGAAGATGCTTCTGAATGCCCATAAAGCATGGCCACCGCACGGGCAGTACATCAGCTTTGCTGGGTGAGTGCTCTCCTACATACAGGGAGCTGAGCCAGCACGTTCATTCCTGTAGCATTAAACACCCCTCATGTTCCCCTCCACAGTGTGTTTCACTATTTTCTGATTTAATAAGAACTTAAAAGACGAACCATCTGCCTTAAAATATACATTTGCCAAAACAAAAGCAACTATGGGGGGAGGATGAACAAAAAAAGACATGCATTGTATGTTGATTGCCTAAACACATTTTCCTGAGAGAAACTAGCTTTAAAATTATTCTGTTCCTTATTTTGTGCATTCCCCATCTTACGAACTACTTTATTGTTAAAATCTGTTTGGAAGGGGGAGTGTAACGAAGATAGATTATAGGTAAATGCTGTTGGGGCATATAAGAAGCTCCCTTTCCATAAACACCAATTGGAAGTAGCTGCAATGGTTTAATCTCTCACAAAGCAGCACTGTACATTGCATACTTCCTCAGCAATTCTGAAGGCCTGGAAAGAGCTGGTAAAGATGTCTGACCCCTGCTTTACCTATACTTTCTTTTAGTTCCAAATAGTCACTTATGTCTCAACGCCAGTTCTTATTAAGCCATCATGGTAACTGCTGCTGGAGCCTAGCATATTATGATCAAGGTAAGGGGCAACTCTTCAGAGAATGAATGCTATGTAGATCTCGCCTTTTTAAAAACTGGGGTGAGATGTATCTTGGGCTATCAGCATTGAGGTCAAGGATGGAAGCCATGGTCATTCTTTATACACTGCAAGAAGTGCTGCCGATCTCCCACCAGACTGGATTCTCCATTAGCCTAGAAAGTATACAGCTGGAGTTTAGGGTGGGCTCAAGATACAGGCTGCTGGTTAAGGAGCTGATAGTGTGGGTTTGTGGAAGACTGCCCTGTGCTGATCTTTTTAATCCAACCAAGAAGCCCAAAGGGACTTACAGACCCTCAGTAACCAGGGAAGCCCTTCCAGAGCCCGGCAAGTTCTATGGTATTCCTACAGAGGGAGTTTGTAATTGAAGCACTCTAAATTGGTGATTCTTTACAACAGCCCTCAAATACATTCTTTGCCCTGACTTCAAAGCTCAGAAATCTGAACGCCACCAGGAGGCAACATGAAATAGTGGGAAAGAACATGGCTTTTGAGATCTATGATTTGAAATCCTATTTTGCTATCATCTATGTGACCTGAGTCTTTGCTTATCTATAAAATTGAATGCAAATGCCTACCTCACACAGCAGATGTAAAAAAACAGAGACGAACACCTAAATATCAGTGTCTGGCCTCTGGGAGGTGTTCACGATAGCTAGTTAGTATCTTGTAGACTTCAACCTCTTACACGAAAAGCCAAAAGTCTCTTACTATGGTCCTTAGCCACACAGGCACTCAAAGGTATTCAGTGGAAAGCTGGCATCTCTACCATCTCTAGGGAGAAGTCCTACAGAGCCATTCCCACAGCCTCCAGGTTTGCCTAGACAGCCTTGGAAGGCCTCAAGTGCCCAACTCTGGATCCAGATCTGGTGATAAGTGTATCTGGCTGGCATCAGTAGATGGCCAGCCACAGAAGGGCATCTGAGCTTCCTATGATTCAACAAGGATGACCGAACCTCACACTTGAGTGTCTCGGAATCAGCCAGGAGTTTGGGTACACTGACTTGACAGAGGTACATCTTGTTTACGCCGGTTTCCAAACCACTCTACAGCCAACACTCCACAATCATTCACTGACAGGCAAGGTAAAGTTTTGGTTAGTTCTTAATCCTTGGACCTCTCTGGCAGGGTGGTAAAGCCTATGAACACCTTCTAAGAATAATGTTTTTATGGGTATAAAATAAAATATTAGGTTATTAAGTATGGAATGTCCGATTTCCTTAAGTACTAACTTTGACAGGTGATATCGCTGACATTTACTTTGATGCTTCTTGTTTTATGTTTCTTGTGAAGGTACATCCTCAGTCTTTCAAACACTTGGTTTGACTTGTGATTATCTTTCAAATTTTTTTTAGACAAATTTTTGTGAAACCATGGGGTATGTCAAAAATTCATGTTATTTTTGAATATGAGTTCCATCATGGAAATAATGCAGTGCAGACAGCTCAAAACATCAACAAAGTGTTTGGAAAGGATGTGGCTAATGAATGCACAGTACATCAACAGTTTGAGAAGTTCCGTTCTGGTGATTTTAACCTTGAAAATGAGCCACATGGGCAAACTGACACCAAGATGGATAATGACGGGCTAAAAGCTGTAGTAGAAGCAAATATATCTCAACCTACACGTTAATTAGCAGCAAGGTCTGATGTTACTATTTCAACAATATTGGACCATTTGAAAAAAATCGGCAAGGTAAAGAAGCCGGATAGATGGGTTCCACATGAATTAAATGACCATTGGAAGAGAAATTGTCTTAAAGCTTGCCTTTCTTTGCTGTCACGGCATAAAGGTGAACCATTTCTACACCGTATTGTAACGTGTGACCAAAAAATGGATTCTTTCTGACAATTTCAAGTGTTCAGCACAATGCTTGGATCAAGATGAAGTGCCAAAACATAGTTGAAACCCGAATATTCATCCTAAAAGCTAATGGTGTCTGTTTGGTGGTCCAGCACTGGTATTGTCCACTACCCCTTCATGAAACCTGGTCAGTCGATTACAACAGATGTCTACTGCAACCAATCGGACAAAATGATGAGGATGCTTGCAATTAAGCAGCCGAGATCGGTCAAGAGACAGGCCAATCCTCTTGCAAGACAACGCTCGACCACATGTTGCACAAATAACACTGCTCAAACTACGGAGATTAGACTTGGAAACTCTCTGTCATCCACCGTATTCACCAGACCTTGCACCAACTGACTACCACTTCTTCCAATCTTTGGACCAGTTCTTACAAGGAAAAATATTTAATTCTCAACAAGCTGTGGAAAACACCTTTGGTGATTTCATAGCCACTGGCTCTCCAAGCTTCTTTCCTACTGGCATAAACAAGCTACTGTTAAGATGGCAAAATTGTGTCGATAGTTTAGGTGCATACTTTGATTAATTGTACTGCTTCTTGTTTGAGATACAGTAAATACTTTTGATTCAAAATCGGACATTTCATGTTTAATGACCTAATACATAGGATCACAGAGAAAACCAATCATATAGAAATATACTTTTATCTTCAGATCCCTTAGGGGTCTATGAACCCCAAGTCAAGAATCCCCCAAAAGGCTAAAGTCTTGATGAAGAGGAAGAGTGTGAGGTGGTTCTGGTGGAGGGAAGTCTTCAGGACTTCCTAGGCCTAAATGTTCATTTTAAAATGAAAACTATCAATATAAGGCTGAACAATTTATATAGTCTTTTTAGAAGCACTTTTATAATTCTCTCGCTTGATCCTCACAACTGTCCTAGTAGAAAAAGAATCCTTTAATTCATCAACTGGGGGCAATTTTGACTCCTAGGGGACATTTGACAATATCTAAAGACATTTTTGGTTGTCGTCACAGGGGTGAGAGTGTGTTCTACTGGCATCTTGTGGGTAAACACCAGGGAAGTTGTTAAATATCCTACACCTGCACAAGACAGTTCTCCCTGCCCCACACACAAAGAATGATAAGACCCAAAATGTCAATTAAATTGCCATTAAAAAACCCCTCTTAGCCTGATGGGCATTCAAGGCTGGAGGAAAGCAAGGTTCAAATTAAGGGGCCTTGTCTAAGGACACTAAGATGGGTGGACACATGACCCAAAACCTTGTTCTTTCCTTTATACCAGGAGGACATCTGTTCTTAAAGTTCCTGGGACTTTAGAGCCAATAAGAGTAATGGTGGGGCAGCTTACTGCAGACACAAGACACAGGCAAGGGCTGAGCAGGACAGAGAACACAGGAGCACAAGAATCAACAGTAGCACTGGCAAATGTCACCATATTAGTCTTGGCTTATCTACAGCCTCTTGAACATTTGTAGTTATCTAGCGCCTAAGATTTTCATCCTCACTCACTCACTAATAAATATGACAAAGACAATCAAGACTCCCCAAAACTTGTCCAGGTGGTGCTTCTAATAGAAGCACAGATAACCAGCACTACAGGAGGAAAAATAACTAATTTTGCTTCCCAAACTTGCAGTCACCTTAAATTCCTAAGAATCATCAGTTTTATTTTTTTAAAACACCCTCTTCAGTCATGGCTATGACCAATCTCAAGAGTGCGTGCATGTGTGTGTGTGTCTGTTTGTATGTGTTCATATGTATATGTGTATGTTTAGAGAAATTTATCTTAAAATATGCAGCCATGCTAAGAAATTACACCAAGCTATACTCATAAAGGTAATAAAAACGTCAGCTCCTGCTCAGTTTTTTGAAAAGTGAAAAGTTAAAATCACTTTGATCAAAGAAGACAATCCTCTGCAAGTTCCCTCTTGATGTCTGGAGCACCTGAGCAAAGCTCTCTGACTCAATGGAATCAAGAAAACAACTGAAGATTCTAGCCTACTGCGGCATGAACTCGCTTTTGAGATGGTACTAATTTTTGGGAAGGGTATGTACTCTTTTCTATTAATAGAATGTAACAGAATCTTTCTCCAAAATTAAGCATTCACCACTCACAGGAGTTTCTCCTTTTCCTATACCCTCCATTTTTCCCATGAATTCTTCCTTGGCTTTGCTGTCAATGTGGAAATAACTGACAGTAATTTGCATCCACACAAATTCCTTTCTGCTGCTTTGATACATTATCTTAAGGAAAATTAGCATCCATGAAAACTCAGACCATTATCAACAGACACATTTACTTCTATTTCCAATCTATCAGCATGGGTCCCTTTACTATTATCCAAAGCAAGAGCACTATAATATATTAAAATGCCACATGAGTTACCATGCTCATTTAACCATGCCAAAGAGTAGTCACAAAGTACGGTCAGCCTTTCAATGTTGAGCACTTAATTATAGCAAATCCATTACGGGTATAAATCAAAAAGTAGATTTCCCCATAGCAGAGTATATCTTTCTTCCTTTTTTTTTTTCCTCCTATTATTTTGTGAAAATTTTCAAACATACAGAAAAGTTGAATTATACAGTGAATACCCCTAGATTCTATAGTTAACATCTTGCTGTATTAGGGAAAGTCTTCTTAAATTACAATTTTGGGTATACCTATTCTTTGAGGATCCAAAGCAGCATTACATGTTAGTTCATGTACAGTAATGAAGGTCTGGTCTGACAGAAAAACATGGAAGAGGTTTTTAACCTTACCCAAGGATTAGCCACAAAACTGTTATCAGAATAACCGGGCTTTTCCTAGATTCACCAAAAAGAGAAAACATTCTCATTTCTTCCAAAGAAAATAACTGGAAGTTCTTTTGAGAAACTGAATGAAACAGGGGTCAGTTAAGCACCATAAAGAAAAATAAATAAAATGGCCTAGATACTGACAAAAACATTTCAGTTAAAGGAAGCAGTATTTGGAGAAGAGACAATTTACAACCACGCATGCCATACAGTGCACACTGCTCACCTATACCAAATGTGCATGATACTATTTAGAAATTCTAATCTGTTCCAGGTCTAACAATGCTAATTCTATAGCAGAAAATACACAGGCAGTAAAACACTTCCTACGGACAGTGTAACTATAGAAGTCTCAGCCCAGGTATAACTGAAAGCACGTGACCTGGTAAGATGTTACAGAATAATAGCTATCAGCATAGAAAAGCTTAGAATTTCAAAGGATACTTTTTATTCTGCTTTAGTTTAAGATAAAAAGAAGCAAATAGTGATTATACCTGACCAAATGTTGGTAGTACTAATAGTCATTGTTGTTTGTATATAATACTCTTCCCTCTAGTACAATTTAGAAAATTATTTTACTTGTCTTAGCACTTTTGAGGTAGAAACCATGAAACATTATTCCCAATTAACAGATGAAGAAGTGAAGTACAAATCAATTATGGAACTTGCCCAAGGTCCCTATACGAATCAGACCAGTAGCTGGGAAGGAAACCCTATCATAATTAGCATAAATATGCTTTCAAACAGCACACGTAAAAGAACAGTAATTCTCACAAAAATGATGCTATATGGATTAAAGCTTAACATCTTGCTAATGATTAAGACATACACACAAAATAAAAACAGAATTTCTTGGTGTCTGCTAAAGTCTGGGGCACACAGCAGCTCTCGGCAATGCTAAGGTAAATCATCATCTTACTCTTCCCAGTTCTCAACAGCCAGGCCTCAAAAAGCAAGAGGTGGAAGGACAGCTAGGACTGAGTGGAAAATGGCCATCTCTGCTGGAGCCCTCCTAAGCTGTAGTCAGTCAATCTAGCAGGCTCAGTTTCCACTGGGTTTTCTTGTTCATCTTTGGCGGTATAAAAAGCTCAGCATCTAAAAGAAAGAAAGAAAGGAAAACTTTGATACACGCACTCTTGTTGGTGGGAACTGAGGCAGTAACTCTAAGCTAAACAAACTATGAGACTGGGTTTTATAGCTACAAGATAACCATCCGAGCCAAAGTTAATGTGTCTACAACCCTTGCAACCTCTAGGTCAGAGCAAACAGACTGGAGGCCCTGCTCTGAGAGGACGGACTACATTTCAACTTCAGGCATGCTCACCTTGTGATTCAAAGTGAAGAATGTTCTATATTGCAACTGGGAAGGGTGGTGGTAGA